TGTAATTTTATATATAATATCAGAAGAGTCAAGTAAGCTCTCTGGAGTATCTTTTATAAGGGCATTAGTCCCTTATAAAGGTGCCCTCATAACCTAATCACCTCCCAGAATCCCCTACCTTACAATACATCACATTGGGGATTGGGATTTTAGAATATGAATTTGAGGAGTGAACGGGATGCAAACATTCAGTCTGTAGCAATGGGTAAACATCTGATTTTCACAAGAGAACACGAAGCAGGCCCCAGACTATAGAACTTACCAGCGTTCATGAGCTTCATGTCAGTGCCAGGCACAATAGGATTATTAAACAGATGGTTTGTGAGCACTTAGATAATGAAGTGTAGTGATCACTAGGAGCCACCATGAGTTCACCATAACAAATCACATCAAAATAACTTAATTTGTTTTAATAGGATTACTAGATTAGGGAAAACCATAGACTGTAATAAAGCATTTAACAAAGTTGCTTGTTGTGGACAAGTTGAAGAAATGTGGTCTTAATAAGTTTGGTAAGGATATTCATGATTGATTGTATAATCATATTCATAAAATTAATTATTTAACAAGAAGCAGTATAGGGAGGTAGTTACCGTATAGGTTCTGGAACCAGCCTGCCTGGGTTTGAATCCTGACTCTGCCACTTACTATTTGTATGACCTTAGGTGAGTTACTTCATCCTTTTAAGCTTCAATTCCTCACCTGTACAAATAAAGGTAATAATTATGACTACTTTGTAGCATTGTTGTAGAAATTTAATGAATTGTTACAGTAAGCACTTAATAAATACCTTTAATAAATATAGGGTTTTGTGGACTTTTTTTGTCTAGGAGGAAAGTCTGTAATGACTCGATATAAGGCTCTTAACCTAGCCTTTCCCATTTGACATTTTTTTTGCAAAATGTAAATGAAGACGTTGGAATTTGAACTTAAGGATAGCCCAAATCTAGGAGAGAGCCAGCATGTGAAACGGCAGAGTCAGGCTAACAATACACCTTCATAAGCTTAATGATCATCTGAACCTGGCAATGGAAAATTTAGTAAGAATAAATATGAAACCCCTTCTTTAGTTCTAGCAGTCAATTGTACCAGCTTAAAAGAACTTTGCAAGAAAAAGACTTAGAAGTTGGAATTGACAAGTTCCATTGGCGCCATCATTTTTAAAATGCAGAGAATAATTTATTGAACAGACCAAAGGAAGAAACCAGCCCCACTGTGGGTTTGCTGTATTATCCGGAGCATGTGTTGATATTGTGTTCTATTTCATACACAGCAGTTTAACAGAAACATCAGTAAACTGAGACAATAACCCAAAATAATGAATACGTTTGTGAACTCTAAGAGGAGCTAAGAAGAACACTTTTAACCTGGAAAAGTGAGATATATATTAGACTGACCTTCAGATAACAGAAAAGATAATGTATAGAATACAGATTGGATTCATTTGGTAAGGCTCAATTTGGAAGAACTAGCATCCAGAATGCAGTTTTTAGCTTTGTATTAAGATGTTCTAATGATTGTAGCTCTTTAAAAATGAAATGGGTGCTGGGCACAGCAGCTCATATCTGTAATCCCAGCATTTTGGGAGGCCAAGGCAGGCATATCACCTGAGGTCAGGAGTTTCAAGACCAGCCTGGCCAACATGGCAAAACCCCATCTCTACTAAAAATATAAAAATTAGCTGAGTGTGGTGGTGGACGCCTGTAATCTCAGCTACTTGAGAGGCTGAGGCAGGAGAATCACTTGAACCTGGAAGGTGGAGGATGCAGTGAGCCGAGATCACGCCATTGCACACAAGCCTGGGCAACAAGAGCGAAATTCCATCTCAAAATACATAAATAAATAAATAAGAAATGGGCTGATTTGTGAATTCATAAAATTCTCAACCTTAAAAGTACTCAAGCAGAGGCAGGATATCTACTTATCAGGCATAAGCTCCTGTATCAGGTGGGAAATTAGAACTTTAAAATCTCTTCCAGTATTAACATTCTTGTGTATTTGAGAACTTTACTTGTACACATGTTGAATTTCATTTAGCTGCTTTATCTTCTTCAATTAGTAATAGTCACCTGTAGCCTATGTTATATACCTTGAGTTCCAAAATGACTTTAGTAGCAGTTGAAAGAAATTTGGAAGAATAGTTTGTTTGCCAATCATTTTAACAGACGTATCCCATGTACAGAAGTCTTCTACTCTGTTTCAGAAATGAATTAGCATCTGGGTCAATAAACATGTAGGTAGGAACTTCTTTGGTAGTTTTCAGAGTATAGCAAAACCTACTGGTTATACATAGGACACAATCTTTTTTGTTTGTTTGTTTGAGGTGAAATCTCACTCTGTCACACAGGCTGGAATGCAGTTGAGTAATCTTGGCTCACTGCAACTTCTGCCTTCTAGGTTCAAGGAATCTTCTCTCTTCAGCCTCCCATATAGCTGGGATTACAGACATGTGCCACCACACCTGGCTAATTTTTGTATTTTTAGTAGAGATGGGGTTTCACCATGTTGGTAAGGCTGGTCTTGAACTCCTGATCTCAGGTGATTTGCTTGCCTCAGACTCCCAGAGCTCTGGGATTGCAAGTGTGAGCCACCGTGCCAGACCCCATAGGACACAAGCTTGTAAGTCCATAAGAGATAAAGAATAAATAAAAACAATATTAAATAATATATAAAGTATGTCAAACATACATATGTCTGAAATTTCTATTAACTTTTAACCATCAAAAATTCATTCTTTCGTTAGTCTTTCAAAAATTTCCAAGACACATAGCAATGATTAGCAGTTTCTCAATTTGTATCTAATTACTATATAACAGATTTTAAACATATAAAAACAATGCCTCATTATGACAGCCTAAAATAATTACTTTTTTAAAATTTGAATATAAACGATAAGGGATTTTATGAAGCTTTTTCCTTAAAGTGTTTGAACATGTTTAGAATGACTGTGCCAGTAATCTTCATTACAACAGCTTGGCAAAAATATGTTGTTCTTTTCCATTAAACTTATTTACCAGACTTTCAATACCATACAGAAGATATTTGAACAAGCTTCAGTTATAAGATAAAAGTACACTTGCCCTTTTTTCTCGTTTCTTTAGATAAGTGGGCACTAGAAATTATAGATAGTTTTGGCAAAAGTTCAAGGGTTAATGTAGCAGATAAATAAAAGGAATTTTCTGTAAATTGAGACCTGCATTATTTCAGTTGTCTTGTCTTTCCTTACCTAACTCATTTAATTTTAAAAAGTAAATACCTAAATTCTTCCTGACAGTGTGCTCAGCTTTTACTATCGTTTATTATTTCAATTATACTTGATATCACTTAGAACAATCTGCCATTTGGAAATCTCAGTATAGCCTGGAGCTTAGTATTAGATCTGGCTGCTATTGTAACATGTACAGCATATGACATTAATGTATCAAAATTAGATTGGATCATCCCTCCTGGTTAAATTTATTTCACATTTCTTTTGTATTCAGTTAACATAAACCTATTAGGGAAGCTGACACATGGGGATGGCTGTATAGGAAGGATATTTTTAAAGTATTTTGATTAAAAAATGAAATTATGAAGCCATGACTTCTCTGAGTTGTGTAATCTTTTTTGCTTTTTAAAAATGTTGCAAAGCCCAAGTCCCACACATTTATATTATTCAAGCTGTGTATGTATATAAGGAGTTACCCCAGGATTAAGGAATGGCAGAAGAGAGGCTTTCACTAATTATACTTAACGACTTTCTTTGTTTAAATTACATGTTAAGTTCTTTTTTCTACCCTCTGTTCATCCTTAAGCCAGAATAAATGACATATTTCTGAAATAGAAATTGCCCGTATGTTAGCTGATAGCGTTAATGTTGATGACAATTATCCCAGGTTTACTCTTCTAAACCTTTCTACCTGTAGTGTGTCTAGTTACCTGAAGCTAATGGAAATTCCATGTAAGATCTGCACTAAAAGTTGACTCATGCTTTCAGTGGCAGAATCAATAAACGTACTAGTATAATGAAATTTTATAATAAAAGGCATTATTCTATAGTAGTGTCTATGAAGAAAACTCAAGACTTAAGGACATTAAGTTCATTTATCTAATGCCTTATTAGAAATCCAACTTCTGAATGTTTTATGTTTTTACAGTTTTAATTATCATAATGTTAACTCTTTCTGATTGCTAGAAACACCTTTGTAAGCAAGCACCACAAACATTTAAATAACATCTTGAGGGTCTAACAATTCTCAAGACATCTATTTGGAAGAATTTTTTAGTTTCATGGGCAAAGAAAACCTGGTAAATTTGTTAAACCAAATATAATCAACTTTCTCTTACTCAGTTGGGGATTATCCAATTTATGAGTTACCTATTACTTTTCTTTAAACAATCTTTTAAAAGATCTGTTAGTGGCCGGGCGCGGTGGCTCAAGCCTGTAATCCCAGTACTTTGGGAGGCTGAGGCGGGTGGATCACGAGGTCAAGAGATCGAGACCATCCTGGTCAACATGGTGAAACCCCGTCTCTACTAAAAGTACAAAAAATTAGCTGGGCATGGTGGCGCGTGCCTGTAATCCCAGCTACTCAGGAGGCTGAGGCAGGAGAATTGCCTAAACCCAGGAGGCGGAGGTTGCGGTGAGCCGAGATCGCGCCATTGCACTCCAGCCTGGTTAACATGAGTGAAACTCCGTCTCAAAAAAAAAAAAAAAAAAAAGATCTGTTAGTGGAGAATCCGCGCAGTTGCTGGTTAAGGAGAGTATTTCGGCTATATGTGAATCTTTTTAAATGTTAAGTTCTCTATTTCCCATTGATTATTGACAACTGAAATTGGTCTTTGCAGTGTCTCGTGATGTTTTTGAGTGTTTGTGTTTCTTATGTAAAACTGACCAAGTGCAGTTTAACAATTTTTTAATTTCCTTTTTCCCCTTTTTATGTTGTATGTTGTCTGTGACTGTATGACGGTACTCACAGTGCTTTTATAAAGCAGTATAAATTATTTTCTTGTCTTTCCAGTTGAGACATTTGGGAAATGATGAAGTTCACATTGTTTGGTCAGAGCATACTAGAGACTACAGGAGAGGAATTATTCCCACAGAATTTGGTGATGTCCTTATTGTAATATATCCAATGAAAAATCACATGTTCAGTATTCAGATAATGAAAAAACCAGAGGTAAGAACTTCTTAGCTTCCATTTTAATAATAGATTTTGGTTCCATAGGGGTTTGTGAGTTTCTTTCCATATTCAGAAGAAAATTTTGACTAGGCATTAAGTTGTGAAAGTGAGGGTAAATGTAACACAGACCCTGGTAGCTATATGGATTTCCTAAGCCTGGTTTAGAAGAAGCTAAAACAGAATAAATAGCAAGAAATTGTGTTCAAGTGGGGGATTTGGCTAGGTAGTGCCAGAGTGAAAGTTCCTTTGTACCAAGCTCAAAAACGGCTTACTCTTTTATTAAGAGAATAATTACAGTTTCTTAAAAAAAAAAAACAGTAAGAGGTCATTTCTTTTAGAATAGGAATATAGATTCCTATATTTTTAGTTGATACATCTTACTGAGATTACATGATGATTAGTCATGTCACTTAATAAATGAGGATTCTACAAATTGAAACAAACAGACAAACAAAAAAAGCCAAATGGTTCAGTCACCTATCCTATAGTTGGATGTCTTACATATGCACCATAGAATTCAAACATACTATTGCAGAACCATTTTCTTCCAGGATAATAAAAGTTTGGTAGTATTTTTGGTGTGTTCCTTCCCTTTTTTTAACTGAATTCTTCAGTTTTTAGAAAACCTACATCTGACAATTGATCATGAAGCTTCAGAATTCCTTGAATTGGATTAAGTTTCTCATGTATGAACTTCTCATGTATGAATTTAGGTTTCTTCAGGGTTCACCTAAATCAGCAGCAGTCAGCAGCCTGTGGCCCCCATAGCCTGGTTTCATACAGCCCAAGCTAAGAATGTTTTGGAGTTTTTTTATTATTATTATTTTACTTTTTTTTTAATTTGAATTTATATATATATATTTTTTATTGCTTTTTTTTTTACATTTTTAAATAATTTTTTTGTTGTTGTTTGTTGTGGTTTTTGTTTTTGTTTTTGTTTTGAGACAGAGTCTCACTCTCGCTCTGTGGTTCAGGCTGGAGTGCAGTGGTGCAATCTCAGCTCACTGCATCCTCTACCTCCCATGTTCAAGCAATTCTCCTGTCTCAGCCTCCCGAGTAGCTGGGACTACAGACACCCACCACCATGCCCGTCTAATTTTTGTATTTTTAGTAGAGACGGGTTTCACCATATTGGTCAGGCTAGTCTTGAACCCTTGACCTCAGGTGATCTGGCCTCCCAGAGTGCTGAGATTTCCACTCTGGTATGAGCCACCACATCCAGCCTTAAAGAGGTTTAAAAAAAAAAATTTAAGAATATACAACAGAGACAGCATGTGACCACAGAATCTAAAATATTTACCATCTTATCCACATGAACCTCATGTCCTTGCCTTCAGCTGCTATTTATGCCAACCTTATTCAAAAATAATGAAAAATAACTTCTTGGCTATAAGTATATATTTTTCTTTTGTTCACTCAATAGAGAAAAAGAAGTATATTTCTCATGTTGGCTTTTTGTATACAATTGAAACTAGTAAAATTTGAAAATTGGCTAAGTGTGTAATTATTTAGTCAGTTACATGAGGCACATATTTCTTTTGAATAGACACCTTTTGACATTTTTTTCATTGCCCTAGCATGAGTGACCCATCACAGAAAAGAATTGAATTCAAATAGTATTTTTACTGAAGGAAAAACTAAAGAAGCAGCAAAAATACTTTGGATGCAAAGTGTCCTGATTGCTCTTATTTATTTACAATCTGTCTATAATTTGAATATGAAATTATGTTCTTATTTCTTAATCAGGTTCCTTTCTTTGGTCCCCTTTTTGATGGTGCTATTGTGAATGGAAAGGTTCTACCCATTATGGTTAGAGCAACAGCTATAAATGCAAGCCGTGCTCTGAAATCCCTGATTCCATTGTATCAAAACTTGTATCCTTTTTTTAACGTAATGGTCTCACTTTAATGTATGTCTCCTCACAAAGATAAATATTTCTTATGTATTGTTAAAGTCTTTTATTTTCTGAGGGTGGGGGTGTTATTATTTTTTGTAGAAACGAAGTATCATTATGTTGCTGGGGCTGGTCTCAAACTCCTGGGCTCAAACGATTGTTCTACCTTGTTTTCCTAAAGTGCTGGAATTACAGGTGTAAGCCACTGCACCCAACCTGATTCCCTGTTTATTGACGTATAAGTTATGATAATTGAATGATATATTTTCTTTTATGTACTTTTTTTTTTTTTTTTGAGACAGAGCCTTGCTTTTGTCGCCCAGGCTGGAGTGCAATGGCGTGATCTTGGCTCACTGCAATTTCCAACTCCCGTGTTCAAGTGATTCTTCTGCGTCAGCCTCCCAAGTAGCTGGGATTACAGGTGCCCACCACAACGCCCAGCTAATTTTTATATTTTTAGTAGAGATGGGGTTTCACCATGTTGGCCAGACTGGCCAGGCTTGTCTCAAACTCCTGACCTCAGATGATCTGCCTACTTTGGCCTCCCAAATTGCTGGAATTACAGGTGTGAGCCCTGTTCAGTCCTCTTATACACTTTTTATCAGTACTAATCTTTTGGTTAATTAGAGTCCCATTATGTGTCAGGTACTCTACTACTCTGGAGTTGCAGAAATAATCAAAATAGTCATTGCAAAGAACTCAGTCTATTTGGGGAAACATACTGTGTTCAGAATACATGTTTCAATAGAAGTATGGGCAGGTATTCCAGAAGTTTAGTAACGAGGGGTCTCTCATTCATCTGGAAGGGGTGGTGTTATCAGGAAACACTTCTGAAAAAGTCAGGATTGAACCAGTTTTGAAGGACAAATAAGAGTTAATCAGGTGGATGAGCCTAAGAGCCTTCCAAGCAGAGAGAACAACATAATCAGAGACATGGAGGTATGAGAAGATGTGGAGCATTTAAGAGCATAACTTCCGGAGCCGGATTGCCTAAACTCAGATGCTGGCCACACTTTCTTAGCTTTCTAGCCTTGGGAAAGTTACTTAACCTTTTGAGCCTGAGTCTTGTCTATAAAATGAGAATGATGATAATATCTAGTTCATGATGTTATGACAACTAATAATGAGTCAATATGTGTAAAGCCCTTAAGTCAGTACCTGGTATACAACATACACAAAATTTTAAATTGTTTTCTGATACTTCTTTCTAAAATGAATTTATGTTTTTTATGTACTTTTTCTATATGATAAAAACATTTTATTTTTTATATAATAAACTGTAAATGATAAGGTTTTTTTTGTTTGTTTTTTTTTTGAGACAGAGTTTCACTCATGTTACCCAGGCTGGAGTGCAATGGCGCGATCTCGGCTTACCACAACCTCTGCCTCCTGGGTTCAGGCAATTCTCCTGCCTCAGCCTCCTGAGTAGCCAGGATTACAGGCACGCACCACCATGCCCAGCTAATGTTTTGTATTTTTAGTAGAGACGGGGTTTCACCATGTTGACCAGGATGGTCTCGATCTCTTGACCTCGTGATCCACCTGCCTCGGCCTCCCAAAGTGCTGGGATTACAGGCTTGAGCCACCGCGCCCGGCCGAATGATAAGTTTTAAAGGAAGGTTTTTAAAAATATCTTAGTTCCATTCCACATGAAATAGATTTATTATCCTTTTTCTTTCTTGAAACAGCCTCACTCTGTCACCCAGGCTGGAATGCAGTGGTGCGATCTCAGCTCACTGCAACCTCCGCCTCCTAGGTTCAAGTGATTCTTCTGCCTCAGCCTCCCAAGTAGCTGGGACTAACAGGCACCCGCCACCATGCCCGGCTAATTTTTGTATTTTTTTTTAGCAGAGATGGAGTTTCACCATATTGGCCAGGCTTGTCTTGAACTCCTGACCTTGTGATCTGCTCGCCTCAGCCTCCCAAAGTGCTGGGATTGCAGGCATGAGACACCACACTCGGCCTAGATTTATTATCTTAACTTGGTAGTCTACCATGTACATTTTCTTCTTTTGATGGAAATTGACTTAAGCAATCTGGTTACTCTGTAATTTCTCATGTATTCTGACACACTGAAATGGAATTGCAGGTGGATCATGGTATGTTAACATTGATTAAGCTTAATGACATTTCTGTAGTATAATTTTTCATAGCATTTATATCTTCACTTTAAATTGAAAACTCATATTTGAAGTAGTCATTTTAGTGAAATGATAAGGACTAAAATGAGCCTTGAATTGTCAACAAAAGTGTAATTTGGAGACATCCACTAAATAGCGATCTATCAATTGAAAAGAAATTTCTGTAGGCAAGTTCAGTGAGTAGTATGGAGATGATGGGTTTATTTCTAAGTCACTTGTCTTTGACTATACAGTCTGTTTATTGTTTCTAAAGATTTTTTTGAAGACTGTATTGTCTGTTGATTGCTTGAAGCACTAGGAAGAACTATTTTTTTAGAGTTTTTGTGAACCTGCTGAGATCAGCCAGCGATCAGTTTTATTTCCTTTACCTTTGGGGCCTGGAAGCTTGAGTCTTTTCACCAGATGTGAGTAAACTATAAGGAGGTTGATTCATGAATCCCATACTCAGCAGCTTACCATTTATAAGATCCACACATACAGTGTATCTTTTTAGGAATTCCAGCTTCATTCCCTAGATACAGTATCTTTTTCCTTTAAACAAAATAAGGTGCTTACTGACAAATTCTCACTTTGCTAATTTACTTTTTCTAAATTTTTATTCTTCTGATTTTTACCTCATTGTAGTACATGTTGAATGTCCCTTCTCTGAAATTCTTCAGACTAGAAGTGTTTCAGATTTCAGATTTTTTTGGATTTTGGAAAATTTCATTATACTTTCCAAGTAACTGAGCACTCCTAATCTGAATACCTGAAATCTGAAATGCTCCAATGAATGTTTCCTTTGAGTGTCACGTCAAAGCTCAAAAGCTTCAGATTTTGGAGCATTTTAGGTTTTAGATTTTCAGATTAGGGATACTCAACCTGTACTTCCATAAAAGCTTTGTAGTTTTAATCTGTTTATTGGAGTATACTTTTCTGTTTATTATTTCCTGAATATCTCTAAAACAGTAGCTAACCTTACATGGAATATATAGGTTATTACCCATAAATTTTATCCACATTGTTAGCTTCATCAAGGATGTTTGCTCTCAGACCTTTGCCTCTTTCACAGTTCACTGTATCCTAATGTCTATTCTGAGAGTTAGTGTCCTCTGTCATTTCATTAAAAGTACAATTGAAAGTGGAGCACAGAGGTAGATATGGAAGAGTTTGCACTTTCTTGTGTAAAAATAAATGCCTTTAGTCTTTTTTGGAAAGTGGTGAGATCAATTAGATGAGATTATAATGCAAAACTCTATTTGCCTCTTGTGTCATAAAATAGGAACTCAATTTATTGAGCAAGCACAAACTTTCTTACCTGAGGTACAACAACATTTAAGATGCACTCCTTACCAAGTAGTTTTAAAATGCAAAATCAAGAGTTTTCAGAATATGGCTTAATTTTTTTTTCTACAACCCTGTTGGGTCTTCTGTTTCAGACTTCATATTACAGTGGAGGTATATGAAAGCTAGCTTTGCAGTTAGAAAGCATTAATTTTTAACTCAAGCTCTGCCTTGTGATCTTGGCCAAGTCACAGAATCTCTGAACCTCACTTTCTTCAACTGTAAAAAAGATGCTAATAACCATCTTAGAATTGTTGTGGAGATTAAATGAGATAATGAATTTGGATGTACTTAGTAAATGTAATAAAAAGTTACATTATTTTGTACAATGATTAATGTCGATATAAAGCAAGTCTACCCAATACCAAGGAATTGCCTGATTCGGTTTTTATGTTTGGTTGATTGGTAGATTGATTGATTAGGCTGGATTTTTTCAGGCCTCATGTTTTTAATAGTCAGTCTTGTTGAGATGTTAATAGATACTACATTGGAGAAAACTGATGAAAATAGCAAACGTGAACACTTTATTTAAACAGAAAATCTGAAGTTTTCTACCAGCAAAATTACTCCTGGAACACAGTGTAAATACATTTAAATCAGATAGATCAAACAAATTTTTTTCTGACTTGGAATCTTGAGTTTAGAAACTTTAGGAAGTTGTTTTCCCATACTGAGTATAGTGTATATGTGTATATATATATATATATATATACCTAGGGTAGTATATGTATACACTCAGGCAAAGGCTGGGAGTATCTCTACTTAATACACATATATAAAGTTCCATATTCTAAATATTGGGAAATGACTTCATACAGGTGCATTATTTGATTTTCAAATGAATATTTATGTAATAAACTACAACTAGACATTTGTATTTTAAGATATTGAAATGCAGGCACCTCTATCTTAGTTTTAAATAAATACTTCAGAAACATAATGTATTAAATTTAAGATGTACATTTTTGAAATATTCAGATTAAGTTCTCATTAAGGAAAAACATCAAGCATTCTAAAATTGGTCAATAATTTAGTTAACATAAATTACAACAGAAATTGAGATACAAGTAGGCTTTGGAAACCACCAATTAATCCTTTACTCATCATAGAAGAAATGAAGGGATAAAAATATAATAAACTTGATTACATTTGGGTAATTGCACCACTGTGTCAGTTATTTTATGCCCAACAAAAGTGCCCACTAAGATTCCAAAGCATAAATTGTGCTATTTATGATCATTAAATACAGTTTAAATTTTATCCTAGGAACATCTTCTGTAACTATGAATCTAATGTTGTTCACTAAATGGGGACAATATTGATTGTGATATGCTACCCAAATCGATCATGCCGGCAGCCAGAATTACAGTAATCTGTCTGTATTGATGACTGTCTTTCAAGCTTTAAAACCTCTCCTTCACTTCACTTGTTTCTTACATTACTTGTACTGGAAAAGCATTTTCTTACAACCTCTGATTTTGTCGGCTAGGTACTTTCTTTTCAGGCAGGGTAGGGG